TATTGTCATACTACAACTAGTGGCACGTACCTACGTGACTTACTACACAAGCGTGACACATAGAAGCAGCAGCTGCAGCTAGCTGTAGCACTTCTGGTGCAGCTTGAAGCAGTTGTAGTGATGGAATTAGCCTTATTCATACTACCGTATTTTTCTCTGTATAAGTCGCAGTTTATTATCTACAAGCCCTGCGACTTATAGGCCCAAGTTCCATATTTATGGATTTTTTTCCCCATATTTATAATAAACCAATTTTTGGCTGAGATATGACAGTTTTCATTCATTCTGACTGAAAATTTTGAATACTACCTTTTTCAGAAGAGTAGTAAGGCATGCCGTTGTATCATGTAATAGGTAAAAGTGGCTATAATGACAAATTCAAAAAAAGTTCAAGACAAAAACTACTGGATTTTAATAATTATACTTTATACTTTATTATTTTTGTCTTGAACTTTTTTGAATTTACCATGCCCTGGATGACTGAGAATCTTCACCAGCTATTAAAGACGCAATCGGCTTGCCATATCCCCGCCTTCATTCTGCTCGCTGCTTGGAGCAACCTCAGCTTCATTTCGCTGCGCCGCCCCGACGAATTGTAGCTAATTTGACCATTGAAGTGCATTTAGTAAAGAAAAGTTCAACTGAGAAACAACTTTGCTATAAAGTCGAGCAAACAAAAAAAATAATTTTAGGTGGTTATCTTGTTAAATTTAGAAGAAGCGTGCAGCGTTCCTCCTTCTTTTTTCCTCCCTGAGCACGAGGCAGTGAATATTTTTGAAATGCAGCTGATTTGACCGTTAGTCTTTTATTAAGCAAACGTTAGACTGAGACACACCTTTACTATAAGGTCAAGCAAACAAATAATTGTTTTTAGGTGGTTTTCTTGTTAAATTTAAAAGAAATGAACAGCAGCTCATCCCTCTGCACGTGCTCGCTTACGCAAATCGGCTTTTGAAACTCAGCTGATTTGACCGTCAAAGTGTATTTATTAAGCAAAAGTTCAACTGAGACACACCTTTATAATAATTTCGAGCAAACAAATAAGTTTTTAAGTGTTAAATTCTTGTTAAAGTCCTCCCGTGCACGCTCCCTCAACCGCCATTTGGCAGCCCATCGATTTTTGGCACAACCCCGACCCACATTTCCGGGTTGTCAGCGGTGACGCATAGATGCGACATATACGGTGAAGTGACGTATTTATGGATTTTTCCACTTTATTGACATATTTGGACTGATGTGACTTATAGGGCGGAGCGACGTTTATGGTGGAAAATACGGTCGTCATTAAATTGTCAATCTGGTCAGAATTAAACTTTATTTCTCCAAACTGAGGTTGTTAAAAGAATTATCTAAAACAGGTAAGATATCAATTGTTCATACCTAAATCCCAATTCAAAAGATTTGAGCTCTCTCTCTAAGTGATACCAGACCTTCTGCACGTGTTCACCGGATATAATGTTTTGCAGATTACTACAGTCCGGCCATGTTGGGGCTGAAAATGGACCAGGAGGTCCTCGGGGAGCTGGTTAAGACCAAAGCTCCTGCAGTGGGACAGCTCATGGACCAGTACCCAGGTATCTGGACCCTGGTGGTGTCACGCTGGTTCATCTGCCTCTACATCGACATCCTCCCAATAGAGGTGAGGAAAAGTTTGAACACCGCTGCACACAGTGAGCAGCTCATCGTCTCACAGGCCTGCTTCTTGATCCTTCAGACAGTTCTGCGGGTCTGGGACTGTCTCTTCTACGAGGGTTCCAAGGTTCTCTTCCGGGTGGCTCTGACTCTCATCATCCATCACCAGATGGAGATCCTGCGAGCGCGCTCACTGCCTGATGTGTGTGAGTGCTTCAAGCAGATCACCTGCGGAGCTTTCACCCTGGACTGCCACACCTTCACGCAGGTGAGACGAGCAGCACAGAGAGGCTGGTGAGGACATCAGCTGTTTCCTTCACTGACAAACAGACAAGAAGACCGGGAACTTCAATTGTCTAGAAGAAACGTTCCAAACGAAAAGTCTCATTTTGACCATTTCTTGTTGTTTTCTGTCAGAAAATCTTTACAGAACCCGGGAGCCTGTCCATGACAACGATCAGTAAAATGAGAGAGAAATGCAGACGACAGATCCTGGAGGAGGAAACACACAGATGATGAAGCTCAGCTCTTCGGTCCAAGGCTGAATAGACTGAAACCTGTGGCTGGTTCTGGAGCCAGCAGCACCCCTCCTTTATTTCAAATGCTGACGTTTCCGAGCCTTTCCTTTAGATTCAAACCTTTTGTTTCTTTAAAACACTTTGCTGCTACATTCAGAGCAGATCATCACTCCAAAACTTTTTCAATACTTGTCATTTTGTTGATCATTTACACTCCGGCCATGTTCTTATGAGGCTGATCACATAATTACAGCCTAACTTTACCGTGCTGATAATGTTAATAATGTATAATTAATACACATTATGTAATAATTAATAATGTGCTCATTCACCAAATCTGTTATTGTTACAGCTCCTATTTTTGCCATCTGTTTAAGCAACATTAGAAATGTTTCAGACTGAAGGAAAGGTGATTATGGTGTTACACAATCGTCTTTAACGAGAGTTCATTCGTAAGCTCTTTGGCACTTTATTAGTTAGAAATCTCTTTCCTCAGCCGAGACCCAAACAAATCCACTTAGCCTCTAAAATGTTTCAAACACAGCAAAACTTTCAGACAAACCTCTTTAGATCCACGTTGATTATCTGTGGGGCGAAGCTGCATTCCTTTTTCGAATAAAATCTATGTAAAATATATTTTTTTAAATCATATTGCGAAAGTTGCACTGCATTTACAAAGTGTAAGCTAGAATCACTTAAAGACTCAGAGCGGACATCTGTTTTATTTTACACACCATCAAAGTTTTCAACATCTGAACATCCTATATTTGATTTATGGATGAACCCTCATACACATCTGTAAACCTCATCTCTACATTTCAGAAAACATTACAAATATTAGTCATTGTTTTGGACTACACATCAGATTACCGGTAGATTGCGCAATACTAAACCCCAGTTCTCAAAAAGTTTGGACATTGTATGTAAATAAAAACAAGATTTTAAATCTCATAAATCCAAATTATGCCCAACATCCTTTTTTTTTAATGTTCTGTGTAATGGATATTAAGAGATTTTATTCTGAAAAGTTTTATGAATCTTTTGAGTCTGATTTGTAAAATCCAATTATAAAATAAAATAAAGCATTATGGATTTCACATTTTTCTTCATTTTCACTTGTTTCTTAAAGTGAAAAAACTAAAAACATGTTTTATGGCAAAAACTTAGTGAACAACTTAAAGTACAAATTTTTTTAAATTAAAAATTAAAATTTAAAAAGTCCTTCAGAAAATCCGAAGGACTTTTGATCAAAATTGCCAAAAGATTACAAGAAAATAAAATATAAAGAAGTGAAAAACATACTTGTGCACAGCATCGTCTTGTTTTTATAGCTACATAAAGCGAGCGATAAATCAGTGCATTTTAATATTAACAGGTTGTGAAAGAGGTTGTTCAAAGTTGAGTTTTGTGTCCTCAAATAAAGTAACAATCTCTTTTAAAGTATATAAAATATTACCACTGCTCGAGTACATCTGCATCCATTTATTTTACCGCCCCATGAAGGAGTCCCAACACCTGGGAACAAGTCTGAGCACTTAAAAACAAAAATCCAAACATCCTCGTTCTTTCACCTTTATTGTTCTCCTTAAAAAAATGATCAAACAAATCCATTAAAACAAATTAAATTGCTACATAAAATGATGAGGGCAAAAACACCAACTTCATTTGCTCCTGCATTAAACACATTTTCAGTGACAGTCATGGTACATGAAGGCTATGTGAGACAAAATGTCCCGTTCGTGGCCGCACGGCGTCAGCATCTGATGTTGGCTTCACCTGGACCCCACACCGTCACAGCTGGGAGGGCACTCATCAACACTGACCGCACCGTTTGGCCACTTTATGACACGTTTCATAACATTTCAGAGCAACAGCTTTCCCTTTAGCAACTACAACTCCAAGTGGGAAGAAATCAAAAACAAACAAAACTAAAAAAATTTAAAAAAAAGCAAACAGTACCACCCAGTAGCATAAAATAAGAAAAAAACAAGTTTGATCTTTAATGTTTCAGCAGGGCGAAATGTTCCCTTTGTGTTCTAGTTTGGGACAAACCAATAAAAATGGCCACCCCAAAATAAAGAAAAGCTGCTCAAATCTCACAATCCCTCAAAAATCCTTTTCACAGAAATCATAAATAGAAACAACAGTACGAGGTGTCCCAGTGATCCTCTGACCATGATTCCCCCACTTTACTTGTTACCAGTAAAGAGACATATATTTTATTACAACCTCCCAGCAAAGTCCCTTAAATCCGAAAGAGTAAATCAGCTCAGAAAACAAACGTCTACCTCTGCAAAGAGTCAAATCTAGTGTTATCAAAAGAGAAAAGCAGCAAACGCACGAGGAGATGAAGGGCAGACGAGCAGAAGGGCAAAGACTCAGTAACTCTCACTAGATAGTGGTACATTGGACTTGAGAGGAGAAAGGGCATGCTCCAGCCTCTGGCGTCAAACCAGCAGCCTCAGATGGTTTGGTAGCCTGCGTGGCTCCTCTTCCTGCCGATCAGGTAGGCCAAGAGCACGATGAGGACCAGGCCTGCTAAAGCTGCTCCCACTATGATGGGGATCAACAGGTTGTCTACATCCAGCTGGCATTCCTCAGCTGAGGAGGAGACACCAGCGTGAGATCAGAGACAGCGGCTGATGGTTTAACCACAGTGCAACGACCTACCTGCTCCAAACTGGTCTCCAGACAGACCGAAGGGCTGCACCTGCACTTGGAAGGTGTTGATGGACAAATCCTGGGACACGGTCAAAGTTTGCTCCTCGCGGCACAAGTAGGAGTGTCCCAGGGTTCCCCGTAGGTAGTCCAAGCTGCTGTTCTTCACCGAGATGGGCGCTGCATCAGAGAACGAAGCGCAGGATTTCACAACGTGCAGATTTAAATAAAGAGGAGAGAAAACAGTGTCCAGAACGCCACACATTAAAACAGACACTCCGCTTCAAAGTATTTGGTATAAATGTTGGGAGTCAACCCTGTCCGTTAGCAAAATATCTACAGACCTAACTGAAAACTGTAGAACACAAGCACAGCTACAAGACGGCAGCCACAGCTAACCAACATGAGGCAACACAGAAATGGTTATAACTCGGTTGTACAGAAACTGAGCTCAAGGCAGATGTTGTAGCAGAGTTTCACCCAAGAATGAACCAGAATATACAGCTGTTCCAGCAAAGTTCATCTAGTCATCAAAAGGTCATCTGGACAGTTTCTTTTTTGGTTGAGACATGTCGTCATTCATCCAAAGGACTTCATCAGTCCGAGGAGTCACAACAAACTCGGTCCCACAAGCAGCACACTCACATAGTGGACCAAACGGTTTCTGGGGCCTTCCCTCTCCCCCGTCGACTCCTCTGAGGCAGATGAAGTCCTTTGAAGGACAACACATCTCAAAAAAAGAAAAGTCCAGACAACCTGACTGAACTTTGTTGGATTTTTTTTACCTGGATTATTGAGCATGAACTTTGATGTTTTGAACCACTTTGGCTATGGCTGCCTCAGAGGAGTCGACGGGGGAGAGGGCGAGCCCCAGAAACCATCTTATCACCAGCAAACTGGTTGGCACACTATGAGAGTGTGCTGCTTGTGGGACTGTTTGTTGTGGCTCCTCGGACTGATGAAGTCCTTTGGATGAAGGACGAAACGTCTCAAAAAAAACAGAAACCGTCCAGATGACCTGACTGAACTTTGTTGGATTTGTATCTGGATTATTAAACATGAACTTTGATATACAACTGTTAATACAACTGTTAATAGTAGAGCCACTAGACTGAGGAACAGCTTCTACCCTGAGGCTGTTAGACTCATGAATCTCTAACCAGAATAATCACTGTGAAAAACCATATCATGTTGCTGCTGATCTGTTTCATGTTGCTGCTGATCTGTTTCAATGTTGATGTGTTCATGCATGCACATCTGCTCACAGACTCATGTTCATGTTTGTGCTGATGTTCAATGTTTTATGTTATGAGTGCTTAGTGTATATTTAGTTGATGTTTTTCTTAGTTCATATCTTAGATGTTATTACTGTTTTTCTTATACATTTTATTGTTGGATGTAACTGGGACCCCGTGTACATAATTTCACTCCACCACATGTACCACATGAGGTGTGAATGACAATAAAGAAACTCTGACTCTAATTCTTAACGTACAATGATTTTAGCTTCATGCTAAAGGACGGCTACGGGGGGGGGGGGGAATCAGGCTCACCTTTCATGTCCGGCCAGGCTGCCTTCAGAGAAACTTTACTCAGGTGGTACTTACTAGTTGTAGTATTCTGGAGACAAACAGCACAGCCAAGTCAACGTCACGTCAAGCTCTGTCTGCCACCTAGTGGCCTCTTCATGAAGTGCAGGATGCTCAACGACAAGTCACATGATGCAGCAACTCACCAGAGTGAAAGTGAAGGTGAGGTCGTTTTTTACTCCTTCTGCTCTGAGCAGCAGGACGGCTTTCTCTTTGTCACACGAGCCTGAAGCGTTTGTTTCGTTGGGCTTAATGTTCACAACCTCCTGCACCGTCTGCCAAAACAAACCCATTCAGGATCTGAACAAAAAGCTTTAACTGAATGTTCACACAGAGAGAGCAGGTTTTATTTCAGCACCTTGTTCTGGGAGACGGAGCTGAAGGAGACGTTGAGCTGAAGACCCATGTATGCCAGCAAACAGATGGTGCCGGTGCCGTTGGTGACGTTGTAGTTTCCTCTTTCGGGCCGTCCGGGGTCAGTGTGCGGCGCAGCAGAAGTCTGGGCAGTCGGAGGAGCATCAGTAGCAAAACCCTGATGCAGGGCAGCAGCTGCAAAACAAAGAGAAGTCATAAGGAGTCTCAAATAGGTGCATTTAAACTATTATTAAGGGTTAAAAACTAGTTTACAAACTAACTCAGAAGTTATGGTGATTTTGTGTGTTATGGGTTTTTTATTTTTATTTTAGGGCTTTGGTTAATGAAACAATGTTAAACATAAAGGATGAAATTTATCCAATAAAATCTTATATTTTAGCTTAAAAAATATACATGTTAATCTTGAGAGGTGGCTCTACTATCCACTGTTTCACTACGGACCACAGACGTAAAATAAAACTAAAGAAGCTAACAAATATAAAGATGCAGCTAATTTTAATTTAATACAGTTTACAATATTGATGACTCGTGCATCCATGTAAACCAGAAGTATTAAACTAAAACTCTCTGACGTTCAGTTACTACAATTTCCTCCTATTAAAAAAAGATCTGAACGAAAGTCCAACGTTTGACTTTTATGGTCGTGCCTACCCGTATGTTCACATTTTCACTTTTAACTAATTGCACTTTAAACAACTAGCTCCATATTTAAAATTAGTCCAAGGCAAATACATTTAAAGCCTTTATTTCAGATTAAAACAGAAAGATCAGAATAAAATACATCTTAAATGTGCAAACAGAGCCTAATAAGCATTTTTCTCTTAAATTGAAGAGGTCCAAGAATTGAAGAAGTTAAAATCTTTAGGACATTTTAAAAAGTGGTTCTTTTAGTATAAAATAGTGTAAACAGAGCAAGTAAACATGTTTCTTTTTTTTTTTTTTTGCTTAGAGGCACCAAGCTATAAAAATTTAAGTTTTCAAGTAAAACACGTCAGCATCTTCAGAAAATAAATAAAAATGGCTCTTTTAAGAAAAAAGTGAAAACAGCATTTAACACCTCTTCTCTTTTGATTCTTTATTTTACTTTTCTTAATGAGAGAAATGGGATTGTCCTGCCAGTAATTTAAATCTTGGTTGGAGTCAGAGCCATTCTCATGTAGGAGGCTGAGCATCATCAGTAACATCTGTAGACTGTTTTAACATCTGTAGACTGTTTTAACATCTG